CTTCTATCCTTTCCTGCTGCTTTCGCTACTCGTCACGAATTGCTCCATCGCGATATTGCGCTCATAAACGTATCACAACATATACATCGGAGCACAAAATTTTATGTATGTTCACATCAATCGTGAAAGTGCTCCGGCGCTTTGATAGCAATATGTTGTAAATGGTGCGCAAATTTCTCCGACTACATCAGACGCATATTCAATTAGGCCAATTTTGCTCATCTTTGCATATCTTTATTTAATCTAACGCTTTATTTGCCAGTATTGTATATTTTATTATGAATTAACAGCGAAAAGAGTTAATATTACTTTTATTTTTATTTGTACAGCCTTCTTCATTATGAATATAAAAATTTTCAATTTATTTCTTCAAAAGATGATTGGTGGTAATAAAAAATTAATAATATATTAAAATCGTTAAAAAAAGATTATTAAAGAATTATAATAAAGTTACCTTTTAACTTTTGGTTACTATAGAATAGAAGATTTACATCAAGTTTTAGAAATGCTTTATACAATATTACAGTCAAAAACAAACTGTAATTATAAACAGTAAAAAATATTTTGTATTTATATTAAAACGCTACAGTTACAGTCGTTCAGAATTACAAAGGCCCCTAAATATACGTAAAAAAAAAATTGTTGACATAATATTTGTGTCTAATATATTTCCTAATATATTTATCTTATATTAAATTAATACAAAGATTTGAATGGACCTTTTGGGACACGTAAAATGTGTCAAACAAAAAATGTGTTTAACAAAAATTTTCTCCAACTGTATGTAGTAGATTTTTATCTAATATTTTTAATATGTCAGTTACTAAATATGTTATTAATTCTATGAGAAAAAAAAATGTATACGGTACACAAAATTAAAGAGTTATAAATACAGTTTACATACACATTATCGCGAAATTTCCGGACGTGAATGCAGCAGCAACGATACGGCAATGATGATAGCGCACACGCACGCGTTGTACGCTAGTTTGCGATGCAACTATGCAAGTTGAACGTTCCTTATACCGTCGCACACAATACACGCGGTGTATAGCGCGGAGGATGCCTGCGAGGTGTTACGGCATAACTTCGTGATTATCCGCCGCGTGCGCGGCCGTGCGATCGTCCCGGAGAAAATGATATTCAGATGAGAAGGAAATCAATTCCACGATGGAATCGGCGAGGCTTCGATTAGAGAAGCGGCGTGTAACGTGGAAGTGTGTGTGAGAGAGAGAGAGAGAGAGAGAGAGAGAGAGAGAGAGAGAGAGAGGGGAGGGGGAGCAGTGCGAGGCGGAAAGTGGATTAAATTCCGCCGGATGTTTCCTTTTTGGACGCGACGCGAAATCGATATGGTTCGCCTTTGAAACGGCTCTTTCGCGGCACGTTTATTTATTTCTGTAGCTGCTGCTCTTCAAGGATGCTCCAGGACAGGGGCAGGTCGCGATCGCGTCGCGAAATGCTATGTAAAATAAAACTACTGCGTCCTCCGCCCGGTACCACCCGACGTCGATATCTGCGGGCGTATCCATTGAATTCATGTAATATTACCGCGTGGCATGCTGTAATGGAACCCGTGCCTCGTATATCCCGATACACTTCCGCGTGCGCGCTCCGCATTTTATGCGTCCGTTTTAATCGAAAATGCAATATCACTAACTGCGTTACTGAAACCCGATAGGGCGAGTCTTCTTGACTCCTAACAGTGAGAAAAGTAAAACGCTCGCTATTTAAACTCACTTTTATACCGCCAATGAGAGAGAGGGGGAGAGAGAGAGAAGTAATAAAATAATAAAAATCGACTTCGACTTCAAAAATATAAAAATCAAAAATTTTCCGATGTATCTCCATATACAAATATATTGTATTATATATGTATATTAAAAATTTTTTAAATTTTGTATCATTTTTCCGAATTAAAAAAATATTTAATTGTGCAAAAAAAATTAATATTTGTATATTAAGAATATACAAATATTTTTTATTCAAAAATAACGAATTAATTATTTTAATATGTGATTAATTACAGTAACAATTTCTGAGCTTAATGATGTGAAGTCACTCGATGTATTTCTTTAATCAATTCATGTCAGTGTCCATACATAAATGTGAATTTGAATATCGAATTTGGTTTCAGAGCGTCAAAATACATAAGAATAGCATAGGCTAATCTCCGGATCAAATATTAAATTTTGTTTTGTGTGCCTCTAATTATTAAATGTATTAATTCTTATAAATCAATCGAAATTTATTTTTCGCGCGTAGCCCATCCATTGAATTCACATCTATTTAATTTTATATCATGTGAAACGAAACAAAATTGCAGAACGTCCTGCAATAATTGCAATGTGTATTTATCATTAAATTAAATGGTTAAAGATAATTTTAAATTTTGCTGTTATAATGTACTCTATAAGACATAAACACAGGCTTGTAATTAGACAGCCTTATTTAGCTAAATGCCTGGCGAAGATGAGCTTCAATAATGGTATAACTGAAATCATCCGGAGCATCGAATTTACGAGTGTTGGTTGTGTAGTCTTCGTATCGGCATCGTCTTTGCCTCTTGCTCATTGCTTTTGTATTTCCGTCTTTTTTTTCACTCTTATTCCAGTGTAGTTCCTGACCAGCTCGCGCGTTCCTCTTTTCCACCTCTTCCCCCATTTCCTCCTCCTCTCTCTCTCTTTGATCTTCTCCGTGGTACACTTAATTGGCGATAAAATGAAACCCGCGGCCTCGTAAAAAAATCTCGCTTACCCCTACATTGTATTAATTAGAGCCCTTATAATGCCTTAAATGAGGCGCAGTTTAGTTATGGGTTGGCCGAGCAAAGTTGTACTCCGTGTTATCTCGCTAGTTGCATCCCTCTTTTCTTCCCTTCCACCGCTTGTTCCTTCCTCCGCCATCCAGCTCTTGAGAGATCCCTGAACGACCAATTATCAGCCATAATATCATCAGGGCCCGCTGGGCCCGGATTAATCGCATCCGGTTTCCTACCTCACGGAAAAGGTGCGGTAAAAGAATTTTCTGGCTGGCAGGAAATTTCTGACAGCGGTAGTAAAATGTTCAGGTATGATGCTCTGTGATGTTCTGAAATATTCATTAATGATTTAATGTCTCATGATGTAATTGTTTTAATATTTAATTTAATCGCAGTACAGCACAGTTTTGCTTAATTTTTTGTTATTCTCGATCGAATTAATATATAACTGATTGCTATGTTATTCGCTGTCATTTTTCTCTTGATAGCGTTTTGATGTTCGATAAAAATTGCCGCGTACAAAAATCTTCGCTGATCTTCAACATAAACAACTGTCATTCTCAAATGGCTTGAAAGAACTCCATAATTTTTTTACCAAATGTGAAGGACATGTGTACCAACTTTTAGTAAAGCAAACGGATTTGATTTACAGTTTTCCCGCAATTTAAAAAAAATAAAGTTTGGATACTTTTTGATCACAGTAGTATATAACCGATTGCTATATTAATTCGCGTCATTTTTTTCTTAACATTGATGTTCAAATACGAGTGACACCAAATTTGATAGTAATAATATTGTAATCCAGAATATTATAAAAGAAGTGATTTATAAAAGAAAGCGTATTTCGCTTCCGTAGAAGTTTGTATGTAATTGAGTATCCTTTATACGTATATAAATGATATGTGACATTAATATTTAACAGATTTATTTCTTTTGATAATAAAATGGTATAGTAAGAAAAAAAATCATTGTTTCATATGTCTAAACTCGATTCTAGGAAGCTGTAAATCTACAATTTAGTTAAATGTGTGATAGTTAAATGAGCGAAGGTTTTGATAGTTTTTTAGTGGATATATCGGTATTTCTTCTTTAATGACAGACCGCTTAGTTAGGAAGATCGTAGAATAGATTGCAGACAAACTGTACACCTATTCTGGAAACGGAGTTACAAAAATAAATGCCGGGCTGTACAATGGCGCCTTAAGACGACTATAATTTGATATTCGATGCGAAATTAGATGCGCCGGAAATTTGTCGCCTGCGGCACGGAATCGGATCGCCTACTCGCTGAAATTTGGCCTTATAAGCATATCGCTCTAAACAATGCGTTCCAATTTTGATTCTTAGAAATGCAGATCAATATTATAATATTTTGTCGCATCTGCGAAAAAGGAGTTTTATAAAAAAAACTTAGCTCTTAATTCACTAAATTTAATAAATACAGGGTGTTTTCGGACAGCACGAGATTTTCTGTACATATTTTTTGTATAATTCAAGGTTGATGTTCCCTTAGCGATAATTTGATCAAATGGTTATTTCTTTTTCACTTTTTTTAATCTTCCATTCGAAACTGTTTATGTTTAGTAGTTGTGACAACATATAATTAAAATTTTTTAAATTAAAATTTATTTTAATCAAATGTAGAAACTGTAGGTTAATTCTTTATTTTCACATTGAAATATATTTTCTAAAATACTCTTAAAGAAATTATTTTTTTCGGGAAGATCTTATTTTCATCAATACATCAATACATCAATGATATAATATTTAACTTACACGCATATAGACGTCAGTCGTACAATCAGATTAAACTTTCAACTTGTTCAGAAGCGCGCGCTGAAAAATTATGGTCGATCCCACGTGAAAAGTGTCGTGACTGGATTTCGCGTTAACGCATCGCGTTGGCCCGAACCTCGACAGTTTCTGGGCGTCAACGGCACGCGTTTGGGTGGAACTAATATCCAGGACCCATTGGGGTCTTACTCTTCACTTTGATACTTATCACGCGCACTGGACTGCATATAATTACAATTAAAAGAGATCGGTGCCGATAACGGAGACGACCTCCGCATCCACTTTCAGGCCCACCCCGTCCCCCTCCCTCTCCCCCTCCCCCTCCCTCTCCCTGGATTCTTCCTCGTACTTCCTCTCTTTTTCTCTCAGC